TGTGATAAGGATGTTCATTCTAAACAAAACTTAACTAAACCATTTTTTCCAAGACAAATAATTATGTTTCTGTGCAAAAGACAATTCTTAGTTAACTTAAAGAAAAGCCCTTCTCTATAAGATTTTCAGGGAGTAAAAATTTAAATGATAATTACGATGATCTAAACTTTACACGTAATGTACCACTTCTAGTCTAAGGAAATTCAAATTGTCTTTTGTGACCCTCAAAAAACAAACCAAAGATCTCCTTCTAAGCTAACAGCATGAGGCTTTCAAGTAAATGGAAATGAATAAAATTCTTGGAACATTTAACAGGAAAATAATTGTATCCCATTCTGCAGCTTAATTTCACAGTATAGGATTTTAAAAAAGCAAATTTCTGCAATATGAACAGATTAGATCTTCAATTAAAGATTAATGAAGCAGGTCTACAAATGCCACCTAATGTAAATGATTTACTATGCATTAATGCTTAAAATTTACTGTCAAAGATTTCTAAGAAGTTTATCTTTTTTTTTTTTTTGATTGCCATTATACTGTCATAAGTAAAGAGCAATGAAATGAACTCCCTGCATTAAACCCATACCCTTATTGGAGCAGTGGGCTGCCATTGTGCAGTGCCTGGGGAGCAGTGTGGGTTTAAGGGTCTTGCTCGGGGACGCAGAGTGTCAGTCTATGGGAGTGGGGCTTGAACTCAAAACCTCCGAGACCCAAGCAGAATGTTCTAACTACTAGGCCACCACTCCCCCGAGAGAAAAAACTAGATGAGTCTCTATCACTTCCCACTGAAAAATGGGAAAACTGATTTAACAGTTAAGCTTGATCGAAATTTATAGTCTACAGTCTGTAAGAGAATATTCAACGTAAATAGAAATCCTAATTTACTACTAATTCAATACAAAACCCTTCATAGTGTTAACAATACAGGCCAATGGGTTTTTCCACAGTCAAATGTCTGCTTGCATCATGCAATTAATGCACCACATGATAACATACATGCACTATGCACTGTTGTACAGAGCTTCTGGTGTTTGGTATGGGAGGATCTGTCAAAATGTGTGAGATGTAATATTTCACACTCCCCCTGATTCTGTTTACTTGGTAACCTAGATAATGTCACCTTAGACAGATCATCTTCACTGCCTTATATGTATAGCAAATAAAACTATCCTCATTAACAGGAAAAATAAAAACACTCTAAATATAAGCCTATGAGCCTCTGCCTCATCACTAAATATATCTCGCTTGCTTTGATTGGCTACCTTTCCTAGTACGACTGTGTGGCCTGTGGCTACTGAGGTACTGAGGTACTGAGCACATCTGGGGGGGACCTGAGTCCATAGAGTGGCCTACAATTCGGTGGGATCCCTGCTGGGGGTTGGGGGCTTGGTTTGTGGACTGGTGCCAGCTTTGATGCCTATCCTGTTCTGGGGTCCAACGGCGCCAATGCTGGCACTGGGGCCATTGAACTGGTGGGGAACATTCTTTATAAATCCTTTATATACCAGTACTTCGGGTGCTCTTCTCTTGAGGGGACACACTGTCAGTAAGGGAGGAGAGAGGTAGGGGAGGGGGCTGTGAAAGCTGCCACCTGAGGATTATCCTACCTGGTGGATGAGCTTTGGGCTCTCTGAGATTTTCTTGAGTTTCCCCACAGTCACTCCCCAGTGGGGTTCCCATCCTATAGCTTCAATGACTTGTTTGTCTGCTGGGATCGGGGATGCTGGTTCCTGGCATTGGGTGGGGCCTGGGATGTTAGTAAGTTTGGCCCCATCCGGGGGAGGCAGCTGGCTGGCATGGCTGTACGGCTGTTGGGATACAACCACCTGCAGGGATGCACCTCAGCTTGTGGTGTGGGTCTGCCTGCCCTGAACCTGCACTGCCTGTGCCTGCGGTCGGTTGGGAGGACACTGAGAGTTGTCTGGCGCTTGGGCTCAGGTGGTTGGGGCTCAGGAAAGCAAAGCTGTTTGGCTTTCATCTAGCTCTGGGACATCTATTCCCAGAGCTATATTACAGAACAGAACACACACACTTAAAAATAAATTATTTCTAGTGTCCAATGAAAGCTTATTCCAAAATAAGTTAAAAAACACAATCCACTGGACTTTGTTTCCAAGATTAATGATGTTTAGCTTCCCATCCAGGAAGCTTTTTCAATAAAAAAAAGCTCAAGTTTACGTTTCAGCCTCCGTTTAAAAATGTACAGCTGTACAAATGCAAGTCATTGCTGACAAATTGTCCTGTAACCTGTACCAGGTATAACTCAAATATTTTTGATACATCTACAGGATATGAGTAAAGTCTTCTGAAATAGGAATTTGACTAAAATAGTTTGTGTGTATAAAAAAAACAAAAAAAAAACTTCTGATATACCTACTCTGAAGCCTTCTAATCTCTAGATATTTGTAATGCCACCATGGTGTATGTAACTGTAAGTTTATTTTTGGAGTGGTACCTTCTGTTCTTAATGGATAATGATTTGCTAAACAATAAAATAACAAATAAAAAAGCTCTTGATGTGTCATCTCATAAAATGAACTGTATTCAAACCGAGTGCAACTGGTTATTGCACTCAATTTGAATACAGTTTAAACTGAGTGGATTGATTGGTTTTTATTTATTCATTTATTTTCTAAGAAAATATAGGGAAATGGATTACAGATTAATGATGCAATAAAGGATCCAGCAACTCAGGGGTTAGAGTTTACAGCTTTGTGGTAAATTTATGTGTTCCAAACCATTCCTTCCCCAGCTTCTTACCTCCAGACAAATAACATTTCCTTTTTCTAAAAGGCAAATTTCCCAGGTGATATCATTTACCTTGTTCTCCATTTTGCAACTGTACCCTTTTAAAACCATTGCGCTCCATGTAAATAACAATGATGTATTCTGTTTGTACTGAGGTCAGATATTTGTTTGGGTTAAGGTTAGCGTTCGTGTAGAAATCTCAGTTCCGTCATGACTCGGTTTTGTCTTGTAAATCAACACGCCAAGTTTGAAGAACAACATTTTTAGAAGCACACAGTCACAACCAGTAAGTACTGTATAATAGTGAAACTGCCTGACCTTCTGCACATCACAGAAGTTGATATGTCAGGTGAAGAACTATAATCAATGTTCCTTTAACAGTTCAGGTGAATGTCTTGTATAGGCTGTTTATTTGGGTTCTCTCCGGGTACTCCGGCTTCCTCCCACAGTCCAAAAACATGACTGTTAGGTAAATTCTCCTTAGGTGTGTGTGAATGGTTGTTTGTCTCTGTGTTGCCATGTGATGGACTGGCGACCTGTCCAGGGTGTACCCTGCCTCTCGCCCATTGACAGCTGGAGATTGGCTCCAGGACCCCAATTGGGACAAGCGTGTCAGATAATGGATGGATAAATAACATTATGTCCCACTTCTACTATAGAGTTGTAGGTTCCCTGTCAAATATGGACCACTTCGTTTAAAGATCCTCTCATCATCAATTTGTATAATGTTGCTTTTGTAGTTTTCATGAGTAATTTTACACCTTATTAGCAAAACTCAGAAAAAATTGTTGATCATCATTATCTGGCCTGGGCCCCGTCCCAGACGAACATGCCGTGTCTTGCAGTAGTGTGTTGGATATGTGAAGTTTTAACAGCTTGAATAATATGCTGGATGCTCTGCACCAGTCTCAGCAGAAGATCTATGTCCAGACTGGATCCGGTGGCCCCCTGTATAGAGCAGCCCTGCTTCTGTGCCGCAGGGAAACCATGGTTACTTTAAAAGCTGAGACATAAGGACAGGCAATTTAGACTCTGAATGTTTGCGGTTATCATTTATTTTAATTATTATTAACAAGTTTCCTCACAATACAAATGTGAAAATACAAAAATCCAACAAGTACAGAAATAGACAGTAAGCAGTGAAACATACCACTCAATAGCCTACTTTTTTTTTTTTTTTGACATAAATATGTGTATGTATCTTTGCTGGCTATACATGTGTAAACGTACTTTGCTACCAAATGTTGCTTCATATATTCAAAGAGAATATGAGCTTTTATCAAGCTTGCAATGTTTTGGATGGTTTTAAATTTCAACATTTTGTTTTTGAATGCCTCAATAACAGACAATGTTTTTGAGAAACAGCATTTGTGAATAGAGAATTTTGTCAGTACATTTAAGTTTTTTCCAATAATCTGTTTAGTTTCTTACTGTTTGTAGACTGAGTTCCATCCATTTTCACCCACTTCATCTGTCAGATGTCAAGGTGGGGCTGGGGCCTATCTTCGGCAGTTTATGGTTGAAAGATCGGGTACACGGTGACAGGTCGCCATTCCATTGCACGGCAACACAGAGACATTCAAGCATGCAGGCACACTCATAACTAAGGGCAATTTAAAGATGCCAATTAACGCAAGATACATTTATTTGGTCTGTAAGAGGAGACCACAGTACTCAGAGAATCCATGCATGCACAGACTAGAGAGAACATGCAAACACAATGTAGAAAGATGCTGGGCCCCGGAAGCGAACCTAGGACCTTCTTGCTACAAACTGCACCACCACACAACCACAGACTCAATTTTATTATTTAAAAAGTTAAAGGAGGACATAATATATTTTCTCATACTATCCAGCACTGCAAAGAAGTCCAGAAGTTTGTGAATTTTCACATGAAAAAAAAAAAGAAAGGATGCTCCATTGTTTAAGTATAAACTATACAAAGGGCTATAAATTCACACCAATAAGTCACTGGGTTAAGAAATGGAATTCAATTTATTTATTCATTTTTAGCTTATTGTGAAAGTTTTAATGAAAGATACTACTGGATAAAAATTGTTGTTTGTTTGTTTTGTTTTTTGAACTGGGTATTTTTTTCTATCTTAGCGGTCAGCAGTCAGACTTCCCGTTTAAACGCGTTGCGTTTTAATGATTGGATGAGGGTTGCTACTCTCCTCCCTGTGATTGGTCGTTAGCAATGACGTCCTCCCTGCAAACCTGTCCAATCAGATCATCGCAAAGTTGTGCTGCGGAAGACGGATGCAAGGAAGATGGCAGTAGTCAGATAGCCCAGTGTTTGAACAAATGTTTACCGCTATGGAGGTTCTCCGGGTAAGAATGAGCGGCAGAGGAGGATTGCTCAGCCTGGCGGTAGCCTTCCTGTGCTGCGCGGGCTCCGTGCAGAGTTTTGGCCAGAGCCAAGACAGTGAGTTTACGTTTCTTCTTCCAGCCGGAAGATCCGAGTGTTTCTATCAGACAGCATTAAAGAACGGTACGATGGAGGTCGAATATCAGGTAAATGCTTGGTCAGTGAAAGCAGTAATCATTGTCCTCACAAACAGCTACACGTGCACCTATAAGGATCTCCCACTTATACCCACTAGTTGAATTAAACCGGGATCTTATAGATATTACCTGCTACATCTTATTTTTGTCTAATTCTGATTTTTACTTCCACAAAATACAGTAAATGTGATGCAGTTTCCTTCATTGGGGGACTATTTGTTTCTTAAATTAACACTATAAAGCAGGAATCAGTCGATGGCAATTAATACATGAAAAGACAAAATAACTTGTTACTCAGGAAATCAAAAAGCTATCATTGTCCATTTTGCTGTGAAATATATGCACAGTTTTCATTTGCATAAGAAATAAATATTTTTGCCTACCCAAGTGCTTTAAAAAAACATCTATCATTGGCAGAAAAAAATAAAATGCTGAAAAAGTATAATGACAAAAATAATTATTACAATTTTTTAAATGGGAAATATTAAAAGCTATTCTAATTTTTTTTCCTCTTTTTTTGCTTTGAGAAATGTTTTTTTTTTTTTTTTACATATATGTATATATGTTTAAGTGTCTTAGCTTTACTGCTGTCAGAATTGAGAGGTGTTATTCAAAACATTTGAAACATCAGTGATTTGATTTTTTAACTACATCACAAAATGGGAAGTTGTACCACAAAAAGGCTCAGTCGTGACTTCATGGTTTTCTCTCCAGAGATGGAAACTTGAAAGTGTCTATAAACTGATTTACTTCACACTATTTAGTTAAGTCCAATCAAGGCAAATAGTCAAATGAAGACCAGGTTAAATAGAGTCCAAATAATGTTGCCATATGGTCAAATTCAGTGGATAATTTAGGAATGGTAACTGCTTGGCAAATCGTTACCCAGCCAATTACTTTGGGTCAATTTCTTTACAGCATGCCCCTCCTTCTGAGTTAACATCAGGGCAAAGAAATAAAATACAGAAAAAAATATTAGCAAGGAGTACTTTCTATGGCGGGGGAAAGGGAACACATGGCTGATGGTAGCAGTAGCTCTGTAATAGCCTCAACCCTGAAAGAGACACCATTAAATTGAAGGGTGCTGAGGATGGAGTACTTTCTATTTAAGATGGAGACAAACTGACAAATTAATGCCATAATGATTCAGAATTAAAACTAAAAACTTTTTAACAAAAAGTTGATTGCAGGTTTAAGGAAAATTGGTAAATAGTAAAAAGAGTCCTTAACTTATTGGATTTGAAACCATAAAGTTGGTTCCAATTAGAAAGCAGCCTGATAACTGAATGATTTTCCCCTTATTCTCCTTTTCTTACCCACAGCATACTGTTTTATTTAACAATTTAAATAGTCTAAAATTCCTATTTTATTATCTGTGACTATTTCTGAACAGTAAGTTATATTTTTTGTATTGAAAATATGTAAGAAAAATTGTAACCAAAGGGAGGGCATGTTTTGGTGAATTACCAAGGAACAGCTGTGTAGTACCTGTTCCCCTCTGGCCAGAAAAGCCAGTTTAAACCCGGAGAACTGTTGACTTTTAGTGGCTCACTGACGCGTGTTTACCGGGGTCAAACGACCCGTGCTAAAAGCGTCTCGGCTCTGATCGGTATGCTGATCAGAAATCAGCATGGGTCTGGCTTACCCACTAATTTACGTGATTCCATTGACATGGACATCAACACACTTTGAATCATTAGTGAGAAGAACCCCAAATCTTATGAATAAACTATTTGATACAATTTTAAGAATGTGACTAATTGAACCATGTAGAGGAACAGTGATCTCCATAAAGAGTACATATTTTTCTTTATAAGAAAAATTTATACTTTATTCCTTGTAGCTGTATAATTGCCTTTATTATTGCTTTCTTATCATCCTGATTCGCACTGAAGGACTCAAGATATTCCCAGAGATTCTAAAGAGGGATTGTGGAGAACATGGGAAGAGGCCTGTTCATCAAGCCATGTTATAAATAGCAGCCAAACTATTAAGATTATCTAAAGAATTTTCTAAAATATGTGGAAGCTTGCATGTGGCTTTCAGGGAAAGACAAGATAACAAAAAGTTGCTGAAAAGAAACATTGGTGCTGCTAATATTCCAACCTTTTCTGATTTTCAGCCTCCCTAAATCATTAGGAATTTCAACCCTGTGTGGAGATCAAATCTTTAAGAGTAGGTTCATAATGTGGAAAAGAAAGTGTCAGCTAAGGGGTGCAAAGTGGAAAGAGTTTCTGGATCATAGATGACACGCAGCCTGAAGCGTCTTGTTTGCCTTCTTAACATAAACTCATGTTTAAACAGCAGCAGTCTAACGGCTTATTGAGCACGCCTCAGGCGCTAAGGGTGTGGCTTTGGATTCCTGTTTACTTTTTTCCTACAGTCTGAAAGTAGAGCTCGTTTATTACATTCTGCTTTATGAGTCAGATGTAAAGCTCATTTACTTAAAGTGTTTGTCTGTGTTCCTAGGTGATAGCAGGTGCAGGTATGGATGTAGACTTCACCATCCTCTCCCCTAAAGGAGTCCAGCTGATAATGGAGTCTCGCCGATCCGATGGAGTCCACGTGTAAAGCACTTTTCACCCATTTTCACATCTCCAACCCTACCGTCTGTTTTCTACCTGTTGGCTTACATCTCTGTTTTTCCAGGGTGGAGCCCATGGAGGAGGGAGACTACGAGATCTGCTTCGACAACAGCTTTAGCCGCTTCTCTGAGAAGATGGTTTTCTTTGAGATCATCATCGAAGGACAAGGAGGGGATGTGGGAGGGGATGACGAGTTCCCGGGTTTGGAGGAGCCTGATGGCAGCCTGCTCGAGTACAAGCTGGAGGACATCAAGGTTAGATGGAAACAAAAAAAAGGTGTACCAATCGCAAAGCACACATCCATGTTAAAATAGCAGCGCTGTATTCACAAGGACTCAACATCATTCTAAGAAAAGATTTCTGATTAGCTTACTTTATTCTCCTGGTAAGATGAAAGCTATTCACAAAGTACCTAAGGGAGGTCCCAAAGTTTAACAAGAATGTTAAGTTTAGTGAGGACTTTTAAGGAGTCTTAGTGTCATAAGCAGAGTTAATACCAGAAAGACAAAGGAGAGATATTTTTCCTCCAATGAACCACAGTGAATTAATAAGATGCTAGCGGTTAAACGGATCATGCTGTGGCCGACCTCATCAGGGACTTTTTCCTCCCAATGTAGCTGAGTAAGCACAAACACCTACAACGCCAATAGAATTAGTTTTGTAAAATATCAGTACTTTCAGCAGCAAAATAGGTCGAAGGTTCAACTCTAGATGAGTCGGTTTATGGACAAATATACAATAGAACAAGTAGAAAAAAATGACATAGCAATGAGTAATTTAGATTTTGTTTGTAGCCAGTGAAGTGCTTTTAAACTAAAAACAATGTATTTGAATATGCGCTTTAGAGAAAAAAATAACAATAATATAGATGTAGTTTACTTAGAAGTTATCTTGTTAGATGCAATGTATCTGGTGATTGATTGCAGCACGTAGATATTCTCACATTCAAGGCTGGTGCGTAAAAGCAGGTTGAAGGATGTGTTGCTCAGCCTGTTTTTCTCAGTCGTCCTGCTTTTTCACATTATAATACCAGGACCAAATTAACCTTTAAAGGCTCCTGTGGGGTGTTTTAATCTCCTATGGACGTCATTTTATACAGTAAGCATTCTTTGCCTAAAACGTTGTTTTTTATGTTTTATCTTTTTTTTATGTCCTTATCTAAAGGTTATAGAATTTTTTATATATAATTATCATTTTGTCACATAGTCCATCCGTCCATACTATCCCGGTTATTGCTTGTATGAAAACATGCATTGTTTTATAGATTAGCTAGATTGTGGCCTTTTTGAGGGTCTCCATTGTCCTGCAACATTGTTGTTTTTATGTCTTCCTTCTTTTTGCACAAATGTTCTCATATATTTACTGGTCTTTTTGGTATAGATTTGTGCTGGAAATGCACAAACCAGACATGAATCTAAAGATTAGGACCATCTCATTAGCAGGCCTCTCTCATACTAGTTGCTCACAAAGGGGAGGGTTCCTAAATGTCACTTTATTTTATTTAAATATGGAAATAATACATGCCTAATGAAGTGCTCTTCTGTTATGAAAAGGAACTAATTCAGCCCGTGAGCCTCAGAAAACTGGGGAAGTGGGAAATTTTGAAAGATGGACTAACACACAGTGGGTTTTGGTATTAACGCGAGACCTGCTGACATTTAGGAAAATATTTCCCTGTGACCTTCAAAATGCGGTTGGATGGAACCCAGCTGAAGTTAACTCATTAAACGTGATTCCTGATTATTGGAAAAGCTTCTCAAAAGAGCCGTAGGAAATAAATCATGATCTCAAAGGCACTCTTAGTACTTCAGAAACGGTTATTGGTGCTCATCCGGTTGAAAAATATGACTAAGCGATTTCTGCAGAGTATCTATGTTTAGAGAGAGCATTCAAATACTTGGAAATGCATGAAATATGTAGTTCCTATGGGGAAACCCCATTCTGTGTCACTGGGTTAATTGGGCTCTCTATAATATTTAATCTGTGAACATCTGTTGTTTTAGGTCAAATAAGTCTAGAAATGTCATCAGACTCACAACTCGATTTAACCCTTAAAGGTACTGGAAACATCTGTTCTACAACCGAAGCATGTCAGGGATGGCTGCAGGAGCCAGCTGGTGTGTCTCTGGAAATCAAAACAAGCTGACAGATTTTAAATCTTCTAAAATCTACAGAGACGGCTGGGGGAGGATATGGGAGTGTGCAGATTTAGAGAGCATCAGCTAGTAAATGGATACTTAAAAGCTCAAACCCTGGAGGAGAGATTCCCCTCCTCCCATAGTGCTTCTTCCATTAATTTGAGTGACTCTGCTTGGTGTCCCCTCAGGAGTCCATGGACTCTTTGCACAAACGTTTGGAGCGCAGCCGGCAGATGCAGATGGTTTTACGAGCATTCGAGGCGCGGGACCGGAACCTTCTGGAGGATAATCTCTGGAGGGTCTCGTTCTGGTCATGTGCCAGTGTGCTGGTGATGCTTTGTGTGGCCTTAACCCAGGTAACATACCTTCAGTTCACTCTATTCAACTGTAAGATAAAAAAAAAGCAGGCAAATTCAGCCTCTTTCCGTTTGTTCCTGGTCAATGTAATATAACATTTCTGACAATAACTTATAAGCAAATATGTTTCAGTGCCAAAGAAAAACAAGACATTCATAACTAACTGTGAACTTTGGGGTGACTCTCAAAGAAGCACCTTCCTGCAAAATGGACAGACACAATTCTGCAGAGGTCCAGATTGGTGTGAAGGGTTTGCAGTAAAAAAAACATGTATCTGAGAGGTCCAACATCAGGTTGATCATTCTTACTTAACATGAAAGGAGCTGCTCACCCAAGATACTCCAGTAATCTGGGAAAACTGCAGCTATCTAAGAAGGAATAATAAAATAAGTGCCATTGCCTTATCTAAATGGACCTACCCAGACTACTGCTGTAATTGCAGCTAAAACTGCATCCATTGAATACTAACCTGAAGGGGATGAAAAGTCTCCAATTAACTTGGAAGTTTAATTCAGTGTCAATTCAGTTTATGTATGTAGCACCAATTCACAACACGTCATCTCAAGGTACTTTATCGAGACGTTTCAATCAGATCAAACAGTCAGATTGGTTCAAAGTTTGAATCATTGACTTTGCAGGATCCACTCCTCTTAGATGAGCATGTGGCAACAGATATTTGCTTGCCTTTAGTTGTGCCCTACAGTAATCTCACAACTCCTCCCACCAAGCATGCATATGGTGACAGTGGAGAGGAAAAACTCCCTCTTAACAAGAGAAACCTCCAGCACTCTCAGGCTGTGTGAGCGACCTTCTGCCGAGGCTGACTGGGTGTTCAAGGAGACAGAGGAAGACATTCAAAAGGAACCTAAAATAACTTATCAATAAGCAAATTCTATATTAAAAAGATAATTGTAAACAAGCTCCATAGGTGGGTCTGTCTAGGAAAGAAACAGGTAGACAGAGGGGCTCTGAGCCCGTTTCCATGTGAAGGGGATGAAAGGTAGCACATAGTTAGTAAAAGTAAAAGCTGAGCCCAAACCCATGTCTTTAAGAGAAACAGGACTAAGTAATGAAAAAAGGCCATCATCTATAATCCAAGCTGTTTATGGCAGCAGCCCAGTTGATATTTCCTTCCACGGTAGTGTCATAGCCAAACAGGAACCAGATGACGTCAATAATAAACAGAGAGAACGTAAAGCTAATAGTTGAACTTACAAATACTGGACAATATGAGAATCGAGTTACAATGATGAAAGGGGGTCCCTATGTCATCCAGCAGTCTAAGCCTATAGCAGCATAACTATAGAAATAGCTAAGGATAACCTGAGCCCCTCTAACTATAAGCTTTTATCATAGAAGAAAGTTTAAGCTTAGCTTTAAAGTTGACCCCCAGACATCCGCGTTTATATTTTTTAATATTTTTTTTAAAACAAAGCGGAGTGTGAATGACGTCATCCGCGCACATGCCGTCAGCCCCGCTGAACTGCTGCTAGTTTTACTCACATGCCTGGAAGATGTCTAGTGCTACTACCACAGATGATCTCGCTCTCGAAATGGAATAGAACGATTCAGATTAGCTAGGTGAATGAATATAAGGGGTAGAGCGTAGCCGCCTTTTTGCCTGGGCTGCCTGTCACAATTCCGGTCCGGCGCGCGGATGATGTCATACACACTCCGCTTTGTTTAAAAAAATATATAAATATAAAAAATATAACCGCGTATGTATGGGGAAAGTGATTCGCCTACATGTTATGAATGCTGGCGTACCATAAAGAATAAATTATGAACAGTTAAGTTTGTGCCTTCCACTCGTTGCCCATAGGAAGACGTTACTAGGATATAACCTAACGGAATATCTTCAGAACAGCTCCAAATGACACAAAACATGTATGGGTGAGTAGAACATGATGTAATAACGTAAAATCAAGGGCTCAATGTAAAAAAAAAAAAAAACTGCGTTCCCTTTAAACAATAAATCAGCAAACATTTCAAAAACAGATCTAAAATTTGAAAGTAAGAAACTGGTGGATGATACAAAGGTACGAGCCGAAGATGTTTTATTGCTTTAAATTTGAATGGGGGGAAACTAAGGGTTAAGGAATTATAACAATTAACTGGCTTTAGGCTAATCAGTAAGTCAAACTACTATTCTTTAACACCTTGATTTCTGTTCATAAAACCAGTTACTGCATTTATAACAGCAATCATAGGCTAAATACTTCAAATAGCCTGTATTACAATTGATTTCTGTGCTTATTTGTATTTTTTCCACAGGTCTACACTGTTCGCAAATTGTTTGATGATAAGCGGAGGGTCTGCACGTAGAGGAAAGATCGACCGCCGATGGATTAGGAAGTGAATAGACTGTGAGCAATAATGATATTTCATTAAATCACAAAGCATAACCAGAGGGTAAAGAGGTATGACAAAGCGGAAGTAAGTTAAGTCATTTCATGTAGTGCCTTTAATGTCACGCCTGGCCACAAACGGGTAAGGAAATGCTTTTCAAAGTGTAAAATCAGTCTCTGAAACTGGGTGAAGGTTTTGGGATTTTCTGTAAAGGTGTCATAACTGTCAGTAAAGGTAGAAGGTACACCCTGGTTGCTGGTTCAGGGGCAAACGATGTGCAATGACCCTGACGCTGTAGTTGCATTAATATTGTAGTTGTTCTCAGAGATAATTCAGGAGTTTTTTTTAAAAGGGTACTCATTATTTTTTATGTGCCAAAAGAACTGTCTTTTTTTTTTTTCATCTTTTAGTGAATGAGGGAAGATTTCACAAACTGACTGCCAATAATGTTCACCTGTCCAATCTTTCATGTTACACGTCTAATTAGTGTAATTATGCCGTTTGTCTTTTAAGCTTCCATCCTGTTTTTTCTTACATATAATAAAAAAATGCCAATTTAAAAAATGTAGCCAAATATTGACTCTACGTTTCCTTCCATGTTTAAAATGTAACAAATAAGCTTTTACTTAGAGATTTGTGACAATAAATGCATTGTTTTACACTGAGTACATAGATGTGTGATTTCTTTTTGCTGAATGAAGGTTTGTTTGAAGGGAGACATGGAAAATTAACCTTATGGTAATGAGAAATTTAGAAAACATTTTTCATTTTTTTGTTTTAGAACATTCAGACCATCTAAGATGAGGGTTTTAGACTGGGCCTCTAGATGTGAAACTAGATCAGGTTTTAATTTTTATTTTTCCTCTGCCACTACTTTGAATGGATGAGTCGTAGAGTAGCTCTCATAACACAGAAAGTAAGGAAAGAATAGCAGTGGTTATGCCGTTAAGCTCTAGAGTAAAAATGGCTGTTACCTCCCTTAGAAGACACTGAGATATCCTCCATTTCCAGGCTGATACATGGTGCTTCTCATCACTACTGATTATCATGAAAATAATAATCCAATGAAAATTAACAGATGAATTTCAAAAGATATAAAGAGAGAAAGCCCAGAATCATACAGTTTTTATTCAGAACGTTACAGACTTCATTTCAAAAGTCAGACCGCTGAGGCTGACATGTGAAAGAACGGGACAAAACCCATTTGATATAAGAACAACATCTAAGTTTAGATTTACTAAAGCATTTCTGAAATTACTTCAGATGTGCCTGTATTTCACCCGCTTTTCCACATCAGAGGCCGTTAATACTGACAGGACACTGATGGAACAGAATGGATCCCTAAAGGTGGGTTCAATTCATGCCGCAATAACTTAAGATTGTTAGATGGTGTTATGTAGTTGGGCTGCTTGTGTAGAACAGTTGCACTTCCTCATGAATAAGGGAATTTTCTTTCTAAAAGTCAAGTTTCTTTGTCGGGATGAAATGAGAAAACATTAACATTGAATATGTAGAGCGTGCAGCGATTAGTGCACAAGACCCATGTACGCCTTAGTCTATGTCTTAGTCCTTGACATGGCCAACACAGTAATTCAGTAATGAATCGGTTTTCATCTTTTAGAACCTTCTTGTTCGCCCTGGTCCTAAGGGACCCACCTTTCTCTCATGTTCTACAAGAGCATGCCTCTTTACTATTGAGTTTCTAAGCAGGACATATAAAGCATGCAGGCTGCAGCCCCACTCAGTGATATACTCACCTGATTGATATAAAGAGCCAAAGCAGCAAAGTGTCTGAGCAGCATTTATTCAATTGAGACAAAGACAGATTAACTCAGATTATATATACCATTTAGAAACAGGAATGATCCTTCCAATAGATACAGAGCTAAAGCAGCATTTCTAAATCCATCATTCGGAAATCATCTTTATTTTGCCATTCTGTTTAATAGATTGTTATTTAACCAAACAATACTTTGTAATAAACTTTCAATAGCTTCTAGCAGAGTCCGGCTGCTGATCCATGGTGGCTGCAGAGGAGGGTTCTTCATGTATGGTTTGGACGAGAAGGAACGTGAGGGGGTCGCCTGTGTGAGAGGGCCATGGACAGAAATGCTTCTAGTTAGTTTCTGATCCTGTAGTAAAGCAAACATTAATGCTGTGTGCTTCTCTAACCCTCTGGTTAGGGTTCTGTTTAAAATCATAGCAGATCAATTTAATAAACCAGATTTTTATCTGTTGGAGCTTTTTGGAGGTTAAAGGCACTGGGTGATGCACATGCAGGTTGGTTCAAAACTGTTTCAGACATCAAAGAAGATCGTACTCTGATTAAAGTGAAAAATAATGTAAGTGAAGAAAAGAATCCAAAAGCCTTTAGATGGAAAACAAACCCTGAAAACTACCAGTCAGATGGGATAATCGCCAAAATGCTCCAATGTGATTAAAGTTCTATAGTAAAAGCTGAAATTATTCATTAACGATTGGCAGATTTAAAAAACTAATTATCATTCCATTACAACATAAACCATGAAGTGAGGATTTCACTGAACAAACCAAAACACTTTAAGGTAATGTGTGCCAATGGGAAAAAATAGGAAACCCAAAGAGTTACTACAGTTAGAATCCCTTTGTGATCAATAAAGTATATATTGAATGAAGAGGAAATCACATTCAGAATAGACAAACATCAACCAAGAAACATCAACCAGCTAAAGATACAGGTTCTTTAGATAACCAGGATTAACCCCTCCATGCTCAAATTATATATATATATATATATATATATATATATATATATATATATATATTTATATTTATTTATTTAAAAAATAAATAGAAATATAGGTATATTACAAATTTGTGACATCTATAATGGCCAATGATAAAATACACCGTGAGGAAACAGCTGTAAAGGAAACAGACTTATAATATGGAAGTAAATGTGTAAAAACTGCTACTGAGAATGCACATGGTATCTTGGCTTAGTCGGTAATACATGTTTCTTGTATATTTGCAACAACAGGCAACAGGTTAACATGAGTTATCTAGCCTAATAATATAAGGCTGTGTACAAACTGCTCATGATAGTCTAATTGAAATGGGGGGAATATATTTTCACAGGTTCTCCACAGATATGAGCAGTTCTGGAAACGTGATTTTATTTAACTTAGTTCAGTTCAGTGGATCCAAAAATCTTAAAATATTGCTCTAGATTTCTACCATAAATGATTGAGGCTTTGACGAATGCAGAGACCGCAGTTTAATAAAACAGGTTTGCAACTGGACGTGTAGTGATCCCAAGGTTTTAATGTTCCTGGAGACAGAAGTCACTCTAAGGATTTTGAGTTTTTCCTCATATTGCTTTTAACTTGTAGCCTTGGGACACTTACTAAGTCACTCCATTTTTTTTTCTCCTGGAGACCACATTGCAACAAATAGATAACTTCACTGAGTCTCTAAATACAAAAAATTAAATAAAAATAAATGAAATAGCTGAAAACATAAAAAAAACACAAATTAATTGAAAAACCCATAACGCTCCTGATGCTTTGTTATAATAACTCTAAGAAACATCCAAACAAATGAACATTCTTACAACCCGTTTCCATTTTAAGTGCTGAAGTGCTTGATAAGGTTGTTGTTTTTTTATGTATCTTCACATTCATCCAAACATGTTCATCTTATGCACTCAATTTCAGCTGTAAAAAAAAAATCATTGTACCAATGATGCTTAGAGGATTGTACCACCATCCTGAGTGCGGTACATGAGAGCAATCTGTTAAACTCTGCCCTTCTGAAGTTGGTCTGTCCCAAACATTCAGATTAGTTAGATGAACCGTTGCATCCACAATTTTTCCTTCTGTCTTAATCAAAGTTTAAAATAAACTACCAAATTAGAAGGTAAATCATAAGGATATATGCAAAAATACCAAACAGCCTGAGGAGCAGAGCAAAAAAACACTTGTTTACCAGCTGAGGTCTAGGAGTTTAAAGGAGGATCAGCCAGAGTGACCTCAGCTACTACTAACCAGCTGCTGGTTAGTAGTATCCAAATCTAAATGTTATTATGGGCTGTGCATAAAGAAAGAAAAAAAAAAAAAAAAGGGAATATGTGAAAAGAAGCCAGAAGCACCAAGCCAGCAGAATTTTCACTCTATAGATTTTATTTGTGACAAGTGACTGTATGAAATCTGAAAGATGTTGCGACACCTTTTCCATTGACGGTAAGCTTTGTGGATACAACGTTCTTACATCAACATCTGTGTAGTTATTAGTATTACAAAGTCGGCACTTCCCTTTTACTTCTCTGACTAAGGCTTTCTTGCTCCACAGATGGAGTAAAAAATTACTTTAACAGGAGTGTATGGTTGTAAAAAAAACAAATGCTCAGCAAACAAACGCTCAGGATAATTGAAACACATTGGAGAAAATTATTAAACTAAATGGTATAAATGTCTATTGAAGTGCTTAGTGTGTAAAAAAAAAATCAGCATTAGAAAGTGTACAGCTCACAAAAAATGTAAACCTTCCCTTTGCAGAGTATAACCAACGTTGTACATCAAGTGCTGCTTTAACATGTATTTTTTCTAGGTTGCTTAAGAATCTTTTTTTTTTTCATTACTTCATGTCATTGTTAAAGAAGAAAAATCATTTTTTCTACAAAAAAAGGCCTAAAAAATGCAATGCCTGTAATTACAGAGGAAATTTTTTTAGTAAGTGATAGAAAAGAGTAGAGAGCTTCTGAGAGATCAGATAATGAAGACAAGCAACCCAAAAAATAATAGTCTAGTCGAGCAGGGAAGGCTCTGATGGACGAATGATAGTGGGTCTGTTGGGTGCAGCCGGGGGTCTTCTGCTGCAGGAGAAAATAGAGGAAAAGAGGTAAAGATGAGTAGAAAACATGCAAGGAAAAGATTTTTTTCATAAAGTCATGCAGCAATGTCTCCCAAAAGCCACAGAAAATCCCTCAAAAACAGCAAACAGCACAACCCTCAGCCAGCTACACAGAATTAGAGATACTTTGCGTTGTGATGAATGCTGCTTATCATGCAGGCTGCAATCCTGGGTTTCCTGTGCTTGTTACCATAGTAACAGGGCCACTGTTTGCCTCCCCGTAGGTGCAGACAGGAAGTCGAAAACATAATATTTCTAATTCCAAGACTGGATTAACGCTCCTGTAGCAGAAAAGAGCTCACATTCCTGCACATCTGCAGACGCCTATGTCTTTAACTAAGCAGTGCTCTGAATGAGATCTGCTGTTTATCAAAAGATTGTTCAGCAGGATCAAATCTCCTTTTATGAAGTTTGCAAATAAAAGATTGGACACAAGGGACCAAAGTAATACTAATCTAGATGCAGATCGGAAGGGATTCTTATCTGAATGGTTATTAATATTTAGGGAAACGTTTCTACCTCCTGATCTGCTTTTCTCTGAATCCAGGCAGGATATTTTCTCTGAACTTTTATAAAGAAAATGTACATAAAATAACATCTGAACAGAGAGCCAGTCTTTAATAAAAATCCTTGTGTGCATTAATCTTACAACTTGCAACTACAATTATTTAAAAAAGACTAAATATGATACACAGCGTGAATCAATAAATGCTTTAATATAAAAGTATCCCCTCAACAACATTTGGTAGCAACCTTTAAAAAACAACT